GCATTTACATATGTATGTACATACAAACGAGCACCAATTAATTTTATTTAAAGAAATGGCGTGTCGTCTATTTCCGCTGTAGCAAACGTAGTACATAGGGCGACATCTAGATGTCATCTACCTCGCCCTATTCACTACAGATGTCGCCCTATGCACTATGCTTTTTTATAGGAACTTTTCAAAGCAAAGCTTTATGGTGTCGGACACACAACATTGAAAGTTTCTGGATCCACAACATTGAAAGTTTCTGGACACACAACATTGCAAGTTGATAAAAGCGTTGTAAAAACTATTAAGTGGCTCATGCATCTAATCCTTGTCGAATCCATGTACTTACTTTAGCAATCCTTACTGGGATAGAAATGGATAAGACAAAGATTATAGACAAGAACCACTTAACAGCGGTAACAGTTTTTGTTTTTTGAATTTTGAATTGTGTCGTTATTGAACAGGACCATCGATATGTAAATACGACCACGAAAATATGTATTTGTGACAAGAACTATCCACATAAGATGAAAACTACTGCAGTTTCATTTTATAAAATTTTTGTTTATAGAAAAATCCATAAGCAAGACAGAAAATCCCGGCTACGTCCTCCCAAATACAAACTGGGACGCGACATCTAAGCAAGTTTTGCCTATTTTCTTTAGTTTATTCAATGTTCATTGTTTTTTTTATGAATATGTAGCTGATTACTTAAAAAACACCATATACTACATCCAGATTTCACACTTTGTGTAAAAATTATGAAAATTTGGAAAATTTCAGAAAATTTTTTAACTTTTTAATCAGCTAAAATGGCGCGGCTCAGTTTATATGTTTTTGGGTCACTGCATATTAGCTTAAAATAAAAATCATTGAAATCGGTTCCCTATCTGCACACTTTTCGGGTTAGAAAAAATTGTCTTTACATTTTATAAAAACAGTCCCGCATGAAAACTTTCTCCGAGTAGCCATTTCTAATAGATTTTGGATCACTAAATTTGTAAAAATAGAAACTTATATATTTGAATTTTAATAAAATAAGGCGAATAGCAAATGACAAAATCGGCTAAAAACGGTTATTTTTTTTTGCAAAACGGCTTATCGGCTGCCGGCTAAACCGAATTTTCTCCGGCTGTTTGCTATCGCAACCGGCTGAATCTAGCCGGAAAACGGTTAAAATGGCAAAACTGGCCAGGGTGTATGGGAATAGTCACGTATGCATCTCTCAAATGTTATGAAATGCGATTGGCTTAGAATGCAAGTGAAATCGTAGACTATTGTCATTACTTCCTGGCATTGTCGATTTAAGTGTTTTTCTAGAAGAGTTATACAAACCTACTAAATGTGTAGTGCATTACACATGTTTTAGATATACTAAGGTTTAGCTAAGAACTATGTAGGTGTAGGTTAAGAGTTTTTGTATAAATAAAGACGGCTACTCTGTAGCGTGGTGATTCTCTATTAGAAACTCGGTGGTTTCATTTCACAGCGGGCTGGTCATCCATGTTGCGTCAGGTATTGCCAAATGAAATTATGAGAAAATGAATTAACTTGTTAACAAAATATTCATTTTTATGCACTTTTATGCTATTTCGGTAAAATATGTGTTTTGTGTTTTAATATGCATTTGCATATGCGATAAGCATTTGCATATGCGATATGCATTTGCATATTTTAGTCTTCCCTAGTAATCACCCATATGCACAATATTTGGAAGGGGAAAAAATCGGATAAGTATGTAGGTATGTATATAGATATATCGAAAGCATGCCCAAAAATGTATTAATAAATGCATACCTCCGTTGTTATCCCAAACGTAATCATCTTTGTTTAACCAACGTCGCGGTCCATAATATTGGCGGTCCCTCCATCGACTGAATGCTTCGCGATCTACACTTACAGTAGATATTTGAGCGGACAAGCTATTATTCCCAGACATTACACCACCTGAACTAGTTGTTGTCCTGCCTTGATTGTCTGAATTGCTAGAGCTCGGCTGATTCCTTTCGCTACGTATGCGATCAAAAAGCAAACTGTATTAAAGAAGAAACAAAGCAAATATATCATAAGAAATATGTACAAAATTAACATTATTATTTTACAATGGTAAAGTCTATCAAATCGTTGGCCGCTGTGGCTGAGTAGTTAGAGGTGCGTATGACCATTTCGTGGGACTTGGGTTCGACCCCTGATGCGAGCGAGATCTAAATTTAAAAAAAAGACAGCGGTCGCCAAGGGCAGGGTATATCTTGGTCTTGAAACAGCTTCTGACAAAAACCATTTGTACGGACCTTTTAAATAAACAGTCAACAAATAAATTGCTATTATTTCGTGTGTGTGAATGTAGTGTCCAAGGAGTTTTGGCATCTGATATTTTACCAGACATGGGCGTAGTGCACTAATGTTTGAGTGCACTATGCTTTTAACTACCACTACTATAACGATGGTTTTCTTATGAACAAACATTTTTAGTGGAAAAAATCAGTGTTCTCACTACCACTATTATTTTTAGTGGTAGTGCACACTCCCCTCCAAGCCTAGTGATATTGGAACTGACAAAATTTCCACTAAATTAATATTTATGGCTAAAAGACTATTTCCACTAAATCTTGCAAATAGTGGAAAAAATCCATGTTTGCAATAAATAATACTAATGATTGGTAGTAAGGAAAAACTGATATCGCACGTTTAATAATATAGAGGTGTAATTAAAATTTTACGTTCTTGGAGATTTCATAATACAATTAAAAAGCTTGATGAAGAGAATATGTTGAGCCTAACAGATGACGAAACTTCCCAAAAATGGCGAAGATAAATATGTGTCTTTCCATCTGTCTTTTGGTATACCAACTGTATGAATTGATCAAACTTTGATTGCGTTTCTCCACAAATTTGAACATTTGAAAAATTTCTTTGTTTGCTGGGTTGGAGCTGCTTCGGCCGATAGAGTTAAAAAAGCGAAAACGCGTTTCAACGCTTTCGCGTCTTCATCAGGGAGTCTTTATTCGAAAAATAAAAACAAATAAACAATAAACATGATAAGCAAGTAAAATTCGCTGATGCAAAAACAATAAACATAGTTAACGACAATTACTTTACACTAATTCTGACTTTGAACTCACATTTACATAAATATTATTGGCAAAAATTGTTTAACAAAACGATAAACGTTAGCACCATTTTTAGTATCTTTTCAACAATATTACCAAATTCGAATCCTATATTCTTATTTATATTTGTTATTGATTACAGCTGCATACACGTTGTTGGTGTTATCTACGTCCTCTTTAAAGTTGATCGCATTCTCAAGTCTTTGTTGTATACGTAGGCTTTCTAACGTCATTCTCCTTTTTACCCCTCTTTCGAAGTCCAAAATTCTCGTATTCCCGAAGTCCGCTAAGTGTTCGTGCTTCGTCAAGTGTTGTGCCAGTGCTGTTGTCATCTTTTTGTTTCTCTCATCCGCTTTATGTTGGCTTATTCTTGTACCCAATGATCTTTTTGTTGTGCCTACGTAGCATTTGTTACAGCTTTCAGTATCATTCCCCTTACATTCTATTTGATACACAACATTATGTTGTTGTTCCTTCAGAATTCTGTCTTTTGTTTTAGTGTACAGTTTGCTTATTGTGTTGTGCGGCCTGTGAGCATATGTAATATCTTCATTCTTTATTGTTGTCCTGAGCGCCTGGTTATTTCTTAGTCCTGGTACGTAAGTTACTCCAATGTACTTTTTATTGTTAGTTGTGTTGTTAGCCTGAAGATCTTTATTTTGATTTGTTTGTTTACTTTTGTTTATCGTCGTTGCTAATAAATTGTTAACTAGCGCATGCGGGTAGCCGTTTTTGTGCAGAATGCTTTTAATTTTATTTTTGTTCTCCTCCGCGAGTTGCTTAGCATGTACACCTTTTTGATCAGGCTAGCAGCGGTGTTTATTTTCTGACTCCATGGGTGATTTGAATGGAAATTAATAAGTCTACCCGACGCGATGGATTTCGCATACCAGTTTAGCAATATTGTATTCCGTTTTCTATGCACCTCTATGTCTAGGAAGGCAATTTTATTGTCTTTCTCTCTTTCAACCGTAAATTTAATTTTTGTGTTTTGTGCATTCAACACTTTTAGTATGTCTTCCGCGTCCTTTGTTTTTATTATTGCAAACACATCATCTACATATTTACTTATGTATTTTATATGTATGTCAGTTTGTTTCAATTCAGTTATACTGTCGTCTAATATTTTGTCAAGTACAATATCCGCTATGGTCGGAGATAATGGGTTACCCATTGGCATACCATATGTTTGTTGGTAAAGGGTGTTATTAAATGTAAAATAATTGTTGTCTCGCAAACAAAACTCTAGAGTATTTAGGAATTGTTATATGTTTCGACAGTTTGTAGCAAGGTAAATTCGTGGATGAAGTGGTGTGTTTGTCTTGTGAATTTTTGGTAGTCCATATAGTCGAGGTGCATTTGCCGCTGCGCATGTCAAGTAGTATTTTTGTTTGATGTCAATTTGTTTCTGCTTGTATAAGTTATTTATTATATTGTTATTTTTCCTCAATCGTTGTTGAGTAGGATCGTTCCTCATAGTTTTGTAAGTATTTTTATCATTTAGCAGTTCTCGCATTTTGTCTTCATATTCTTTTTTATATAACATAACCGTTTTATTGCCTTTGTCCGCCTGTGTTATTATTATTTCATCCTTATGTCGGTTTATAAATTTTTGGGTGTTCGCATATGTTTACAATATAAACTTTTCTTTGCTATTGTTTTTAATTTTATCCTGAAATTTGTTTATTTTTGCTGCGATGTTGCTTCTAGCCATATCCTTTTCCCTTTCGTCCATAATCTCTTGTATGCCTTGTTCCAGGTCGGCAATAATGTGTATCGGGGAAAATGTTTTTCTCGACACAGGTAATGCGAATTTGTCCCCTAGCGACAGTAACCAGCGGGACTCCTGAGGAACCTGAACGTCAGTCTTGTTGATAAACCAGTCTTCGTTAAGTTTTATGCCAAATTTATTCGCATTTCTCTCCATTAGCTCATTTAGTTTTTTGTTGTGTGTTTTTTGAGTATCAATTAATATTTGTTTGGAGAACTGTGTTTGATTTTCAATGATTTGACCATATTCTGTTACTTGAAGTCTGTTCTGTAATGTTTGCTGGGTATTCTTGGTGTCGGTTGTTATTATTTTAATGTTTATGTTTGTTTCTTTGATCTCCAGATTGAGGATTTTAAGCAGAAAACATTCTTCCAATTTCTTTAAATCACGCCTAGTGGTATCTAGCTTAAAACAGTGTAAAAATCTCTTCATTTTTCCCTGTAGATGCGGTGGGATAATACCTCACCGATCTCATATAATTATAATTATTTGTTATGTTTGCTGGGTTGGAGCTGCTTCGGCCGATAGAGTTAAAAAAGCGAAAAAATGAAATTTTCCTTTTACCCTCCTACGCGTTTCAACGCTCTCGCGTCTTCATCAGGGAGTCTTTATTCGAAAAATAAAAACAAATAAAGAATAAACATGATAAGCAAGTAAAATTCGCTGATGCAAAAACAATAAACATAGTTAACGACAATTACTTTACACTAATTCTGACTTTGAACTCACATTTACATAAATATTATTGGCAAACATTGTTTAACAAAACGATAAACGTTAGCACCATTTTTAGTATCTTTTCAACAATATTACCAAATTTTTCGAATAAAGACACACACACGCTTTCCGGGCTGTTTCGATAACTAGAGAAAAATAAGCTATTCTCTGACAAGTTTTAAGAATAAGTCGATACGTGCCGAAGCTGACCAGAGCGTGAGGAACGCAAAAAAAACACATTTCGTATCCGGAATAAACAAATCAGCTCTAAACAATGATTTTATGTGTATTTAACTTATATGGCTAATAAAATTAGCAAATACGTACATTTCTGAAACTTAACTGCTATTTTCCATTTTGGTATTTTACAAAATTTGCGCTCGGATGTAAACAAACAACAAGCTCGGATGTAAACAAACAACAACTTTTTTCAAATTGACTTCTTGCACATTTCTGCCCGGAAAAAAGTCCCGACTGTTTCGGGCACGAAGAAGAAGACCTTTACGATTCAAAAGTGGAAGGTATTCGCCCTCGTTTACCCATATTTCTAGCGTGAGAAACGCTTTCTGGGCTATTTTGGGCACCCGCGGGATCCCGCGGGCTCGTGTGGAACAAACCTATTATTAAATGTGCTATATGTTGACCGTATTCATCATCTCACAACTCAAAATTACACGTTCGTCAGAAAATGCGAAGAACTATTTCTTAGCACATGCTAATCATATGGGCAAGGCAGACTTTACCTTTTTCAACAATTTATAACAAAAATTTGCTCCCGGACCAGTTACATTTTTAGTGCATAATTCCAAAAATGCCAAATTTTGAGTTGCGTCATTTTTGAAGATCGTGTGCGATATGTGTATAAGTAACCTCTTACGTGAGTCTACACTTCGTGTTTTTAATATTTAAATCCATAAAAGCGAAATTTGTGTTTGTGTTTATCTTAAAGAAATATTGTAATTGTATTGAAATACACTGTAAATTGATATGTATGTACTTATGTTAGAAAATATACACACATGTATTCAAAAGCCGATACATTTCCAAAAATCACTTGAAAAGGCCTAATTACTTTACTATATTTGGTTTAGTAGAAAATCTGTTGATTCCACTACTTTTGAAATTATTGAAAATTTTTTACATTACCACCACTCATTAGTGGTAGTGGAAAAAAATTCAATTATCACTAAAGGCATTTATTTTTGGTGGAAATTTTTTCAACTACCACTAACGCATTTAGTGGTAGTGAAAAAAATCTGAGTCCCACTACTTTTAGTGGGATTAGAAAAAAATAAGCCTCACTATATTCAATATTAGTGGTACTTGAAATTTAGTGCACTACGCCCATGTCTGTATTTTACAGCCTGCTGCCTAACTTTTTCTTTACGAAATAATGGAACGGGCATATATTTCTGTTGAAAAGCACCTTGCTTGT